TGTACACATGAGTGGTGAGAGATTTGATGCAGGACCTGCTCAGGGAAGTAAGTTCCACGCTGGACAGCTTGGTTGAAAGTCGTATTTCCCCGTACTTGGTACCACTGGACCTGCTCAAAGATAGCTTGACAGCTGCTACCCCTCTACTGTGCACCTTTCACAAATCCACCTAGCGTACAGCCTAAGTAGTGCAATGCCCATTCACGTTAAAAAAAAATTAGAACTCGGTTTCCTGTTAAACGTTCCCATAATTGTGACACCTCACATCTATAGGTAGGTCGATGCTGAACATTGGTATTTGAAAGGACGGTAGGCATTTCCACTTTGAACTAGAAACCTGACACTCCATCACCTCAGCCTCAAACAGCATGACTCAGAGATTGAGATCATGGACGTTTTCCAGGGTTATAACTTTGCCTTCGATTTAGAAATTGACCAACAATTACTGATTGAAGGAACCAAATTTGCTAAGTTCACACAAAACCCGCGTGAACTTACTTTGACGCCCAAGACGCTACATTGACACAGATTATACGACTTTAATCTGCACATTGGTCGCCCTGGGGATGGAATGGCTCATCACGGCCGTGATAGCTTATTCCGCCTACAGGCGTGTTAAGAAACTCCAAGATAAGATGCACTTGCTCACCTACGGTGTGCCTCGTGACCGCGTTCGGGGAGACTCCAAGCGTGAATGTACCACACCTGTCTAAAGGGGGTGAGCAACATTTTCTTTGTTATTCTGTAAACCTAAGAGTAGTTCTCATTTTAGTCTACCTCACATATTTATCTGAGTGTTGCAGTATGTCACATTCTTTATAAGCTACACACTGAATGTATGACCTAAGAATGTATTTTATGAGACCTCAAGGTTGCTATGAATTTTCTTGGATGTTATATGTTACATGTTTTTTTTTTGGGGTTTTCTGTATTTTTGTTTCTTACTTGGTCACATATTAACTAGTGGTTATGTGCCGGCCCAGCTCAGTCTGTCAATGACTCTGTCTGACGCACCAGCACATTGTAGTACCTCTTAGTTTTATGGTCCTTGTTTTAGCCCAAAGACTGTCCTGATCCACCCTTTGGACCAAAAAAGGGGGGAATCTTGGGACCACATAGGTCAATGCGCGTTTGCGAACTATGGACCTCGTACATCACCGCGTGCTCCATAAACTGAACTGTATGGCCGGCGGTGAGATGCCTTTGTGTCCACTCGTGGAGTTAACCGCCCACCGACCTTCCTCCTTCTACACTACTACCTCTCGCATGGACGACATCATCATTGCGTACCACCTGCGTGAGTGGCTTCTTCTCGTTATGCGCGTTGGGGACTATCCCGTTTCCTATCCTCTTTGTGCCTGACCAAAGACAAAGACCAAAGACAAAGGCGTCCAAGGAGACCAACGTCCTAAGGGACAAACCCACCTGTGCTTCCGACAATCAAGTCGACCTACGTTCATGAGGAACAAACCCATCTGTGCTTCCGACGATCGAGCTTTGGGCGCGATCCCCGAAACCAAAAGGGGGAATGTTGAGGGTCTGACCTCATGAGGAAATTACTATGCAGTGATTTTCTCTAAAATGACTGTGCTTAAATTGCTCTGAAAAGCAAATAATCACATCAGCGCCAAGAAACTTCATTTCCCATGATGCTTTGCACACGGAAGCATTGGGTGATGTTACCGCCTAGTACCAGAAACACGTTCTGCGCATGTGCGGGAAGCCGTGGAGCTTTCCCCGCGAACTAAGACCATAAATCTTCAGCAGAGACAAAGAATCCTCGTTCTTTTGCCCAGGATACCTGGCGGTGAGGACACGCTTGTCGAACGCTCCGACTTCTTTGAGCACGCGGAAGCTCTAAGAGCCAAGTTGAGCCCACGGGACCGCTGATCTGCTCGTTTCTGCTCCCCTCCAGCTGATGTTTGAGGACACAGAACCAGCGAAGGGAAACAACAACTCCATCCAGCTCTCAGAAACGCTGTAAGTTGTCAAACTCAGCCCAAAAGGAACTTCGTTTTCTTTGTGTCCAGCCGTGGAGAAACACTCGTGGAGCCAAACAACGGAGAAAGCATCAAACCGGCGGATGACGCTGAAAACTGCGGAGAAACACGGAGAACCGTCAAATCAAAAGGGGGAGGGACGCCTCGCTCTTTTGGTGATCAGAAAACTCATTTTTCTCTCATTCTTTTCTTCTCCCGTTTCCTCTATAGTCCAGAATAAGCAATAAAACCGCGCTATTGCTTAAAAAAAGTAGCTTCGTGTTTTCCTCTTTCGTTCCAAATTCGTCCTTCGGGTCATTTTGAAAGAATAAACTGCTTATTAATCATTGTTTGGTATCTTTAAATGTTCGGCCATGGCCAGGCTGATAAACTAAGGATATTAACTCGTGATTAATCTTTTGTGTTGTTGCATGATCCTTTGAAATGTTTTGAGTGATTTAAGGTTAAGTTACTACTGATTCTAAGTGCTTTGGAAGTTAAAGTGCAAGTTGCCACCCACACTTTAGCCAGACAAAGGAGTCAGCCATCTTGTATTCAAGACTCCATTTTGAATCCATACACACGCACACACACGACTCCTTTGTGAGAACAAAGGACCCCATTCATACATCCTACATACACACAAAACACCTTGAACATTATTTTGAATATACATCCTTTTATTATATCACATGGTTATTATTCATCTATTCCACTGTTTATTCATTTGACAAATTGTTAATTAAATGTTATAAAATTCAGATTTTTGTGTCCAGTAGCTTTGTTGTGTCGAAGAGAAGTCTCTGCTCCAAGGATTCTACGAACTTCAAGAAAGACTGATAAGAGTTTTGGATTCAATTTTTCCCCGGAAAAAGGGGAATGGTGCCCCGTATATCTAAGAATATCTTAATTAATTAATAAATCAGTAAATATTCCCATATTTACAGAATTTATTGAAGAATCCAAAAGTAAGTTGAAGCTTACTAATTGTTCGCTCCTAATAACCCCAACACATCCATCCTTAATCTATCCATCCATCCATCCCTCCATCCATCATCCATCATTCATCTATCCATCCATCCATCCTTCATCTATCCATCCATACATCCCTCCATCCATCATCCATCATTCATCTATCCATCCCTCCATCCCTCCATCCCTCCATCCATCATCCATCCTTCATCTATCTATCCATTCCTCCATCCATCATCCATCCTTCATCTATCTATCCATCCATCCCTCCATCCCTCCATCCATCATCCATCCTTTATCCATCCATCCCTCCATCCATCATCCATCCTTCATCTATCTATCAATCCATCCATCCATCCCTCCATCCCTCCATCCATCATCCATCCTTCATCTATCCATCCATCCATCCCTCCATCCATCATCCATCCTTTATCCATCCATCCCTCCATCCCTCCATCCATCATCCATCCTTCATCTATCTATCAATCCATCCATCCATCCCTCCATCCATCATCCATCCTTCATCTATCCATCCATCCATCCCTCCATCCATCATCCATCCTTTATCCATCCATCCCTCCATCCCTCCATCCATCATCCATCCTTCATCTATCCATCCATCCATCCTTTATCTATCCATCCATCCATCATCCATCCTACATCTATCCATCCATCCCTCCATCCATCATCCATCCTTCGTCTATCCATCCATCATCCATCCTTCATCTATCTATCCATCCATCCATCCTTCGTCTATCCATCCATCATCCATCCTTCATCTATCTATCCATCCATCCATCCTTCATCGATCCATCCATCCATCCATCCTTCATCTATCCATCCATCCATCCCTCCATCCATCATCCATCCTTTATCCATCCATCCCTCCATCCATCATCCATCCTTCATCTATCTATCCATTCCTCCATCCATCATCCATCCTTCATCTATCTATCCATCCATCCCTCCATCCCTCCATCCATCATCCATCCTTTATCCATCCATCCCTCCATCCATCATCCATCCTTCATCTATCTATCAATCCATCCATCCATCCCTCCATCCCTCCATCCATCATCCATCCTTCATTTATCCTTCATCTATCCATCCATCCATCCCTCCATCCTTCATCCATCCATCCTTTATCTATCCATCCATCCATCATCCATCCTACATCTATCCATCCATCCATCCCTCCATCCATCATCCATCCTTCGTCTATCCATCCATCATCCATCCTTCATCTATCTATCCATCCATCCATCCTTCGTCTATCCATCCATCATCCATCCTTCATCTATCCATCCATCCATCCCTCCATCCCTCCATCCATCATCCATCCTTCATCTATCCATCCATCCATCCCTCCATCCATCATCCATCCTTCATCTATCTATCAATCCATCCATCCATCCCTCCATCCCTCCATCCATCATCCATCCTTCATCTATCCATCCATCCATCCCTCCATCCCTCCATCCATCATCCATCCTTTATCCATCCATCCCTCCATCCCTCCATCCATCATCCATCCTTCATCTATCTATCAATCCATCCATCCATCCCTCCATCCCTCCATCCATCATCCATCCTTCATCTATCCCTCCATCCATCATCATCTATCCTTAATCCAGCCAGCCATCATCCATTCATCAACCATCCATCATCCATCCCTCCATCTATGCATGCATCCATTCATCCACCCTGAAGCTGCTTTTATCCTTTTAAATTCTCTGCAGAAAAAAACAATGAAAAGTTTTATTTTTTTACTATTTTTGTTCATGTGAGAGAATGAGAGTTATAACACAACTGAACCTAATAATAATGGAAAGTGTTACTACAAACATTCAAGGATTAATATTGAATACTAATAAAACGTCCTTTTTCATGGACATATGTCCGATTTAAAGATGATTTTTTTTGTTAAGGGATTTTTTAACATGCAGATCAGGTTTTATTTAGAAATCAAGTTTCTGTCAGATTTTTCCTCCCATGTGTGAGCTCCAGCTCCATCGTGATGATGACTCCTTTTCCCTGTTTTCCCAACAGGTGACTGTAAATCCCAGGCAGCAGGTCCCAGAGTCCAACTTCAACAATAACATCGCTCGGTGCGACGTTCAGTACACGGGAAACGCCGCACACGTCTCCGGCTGCAGCCTGACCGGGTAAAAGACGTTCTGCTGTTCTGTTTGAGTCGGTTAGCCTGGTTAAACGATCACAGAGATTACGTTTATCTGAACTTCAGACATGTTAATGGAGCCAAGAGTCTGGTTAAATTCAGTGTTCATAAACTGATTCAGCTTCAGAAATGGTAGTAATGATATTTTAGCATGAAAATAAGGCAGAAAACATCTGGATATCGGCCATGAAATCAGAAGCACATATCGGTCATCGACTGACTTCGACCCCTACGCCGGTATCGGTATTTCACAAATCTAAATCAGACGGCCTCTAGTCTGAACCAGCTGTCTTGAGTTCTAATTAAATGTTTTTGTTACCTGTAAAAAAGACTCAGCTGACTGGAATATATGAAGAAAATGTGTTCAAATAAAAATAAAAATAATGAAAGACTGGATTAAAAAGAACTTTTACCGTTAATCTATAAACAAAATGAGAATCCGCACACTTCAATCTGCGATGTAGGAGTTTATCGGTCAAGCTTTCGGTCAGAGACCTTCTTCAGGAATTGTGGAGGTTCACACTAAACAGTCCTTAGTTAAACAGGTCATTTGATTTAAAACACCTGTGTGGCTGAATCTAGCAAAGTATCATGGGAAATGTAGTCTCAGACAATGAAAACATTCCACTCAATATTAAAAACACTCAATCAGCTCGGGAAGTGAGAGGTTTGTACGCTGCAAACATCAAGCTAAAAAAGCCGTCATACAGCAAGGCAGGAAGTACAAAAACACAGCAGTGTATGCTATCTTTAAAGAAACACAGACACCTCAAAGTCCTCATTTAAACCTAGTGGTTGAAGTGCATTCAACGTGTAAATCCACAACAGTTCCCTTTGGCAGAGTTTTTTTTTATCTATATCACCTCCTCTATGTAGTGAAATATGTTCAATCCCCTGGAACCTGAGTGAAGACACGGGGTGTGGAAAGTCACTGAAATGGCGTGCTGCTGGATAGGTCAAGTCTTTTCTCCTAATTGAACTCTTGTGTTCACTGATCCTCTGTTTGAGCGGCCTTGTTGTTTTTACAATATAGATTTTGTCGCAGGGGCATTTTAACAAATAAATGACATTCTTTGAATTGCAAGTAATTACGCCCTTAATCAAGAATCTTTTTCCTGTTCTCGTATGCCGAAACTCAGATGTTTTAACAGTATTGTGGCACTGAGCACAGTTTCCACAGGGATAGTTTCCTAGCTGCAGAGGAGCGAGAGGTGACTGCTTTGGAGGTGGCAAAATATTGGCTTTCACTACTTTGTCCCGTAGACTGGGACCCCTTTTGTAGACAAACAGGGGTGGATGTTGAAAAGCCCCTTTCAGTGCTGGATCTCCAGCCAAAATGTGCCAATGTTTTAGAATAGTTCGCTTAATTGTATATTCATGGGGAGTAAAGGTAGTGATACATGTTACAGAGTGGTGTTTTTCTTTGTTAGTACTTTTTTTCAGAAGTTCAGATCTGGGTTTGGATAGTGCAGAGACATGCTTCCTCAGTACACTGGTTAGAGCAACCTCTGTCTCGAAAGCGTTGCTTCATTTCCAAACTCTTCTCTATTCATGTAAACCACACCCACTTCCAGTTAAACTACACCCACTTCCGGGTTAGGCCACGCCCACTCTGTGTACAGATACAGATACAGATAGTGGCGTACTCGCTCATCCCTACCCGGCAGCAACATCCTGCTGAAGGACAAAAGTCTACCGTCCTCAAACCGCGTCCGAGGGCCACAAGTGGCCCACGAGCCACACTTTGCCACACCCTGATCTAATGGATGTGCTGAGTCGACAGGTTTGAAGACCTTCTTCAGCAGAACGTAGATAAATCCCGTCTACAAACTCATCAGAGCAGAAAAAGCAGAGGAAACTCCTGTTTCTGGATCCTTCTGTGACTCACCTGGTTTCTGTTTCCTTTCAGCTACTGAACCTGAAGATGGAGAACCAAGCCGGGCCCAGACGTTCCTGTTCCAGTCGTGTAAATCAGTTCCAACCAAAACTCACCAGAATTCCCGATCCAAGCCGCCGAAGCAGGACGTTTAGAACAAGTCATCGCTGGAATCAGCTGATCCACTTCTGTCCTTTTAGTTTTCAGATGTTTTTTTTTTTGTTTCAGCAAATTTAGTCAAAGAAGCTCGTTTTCATTCAGAGTTTGTGAAGCTAAACGTTGTTGAGTTCCCATGAATAATTACAGCCTTTTCTGTGTGTTTTTAAAGAGCAAGTCACCCCCTACAAGAAACTTACTTCACTCCCTCTTCATGTTTAAAAAATGCAACAAATGATGTTGCCTAGCAGACCGAGAGGGCGGAGCCACTAACAAATACACACACACACACAAGCTCACAACGGCATTGTGACATCATAATGTACCAGTTTACATCATAGCATACCTCTTAGCCAATTGCGATGGCAGATTTAAATTCAAATGCAGTGCAGAGTTTTTACCTGATAACGGCACAACACTGAGTTTTAGGCAGAATATTTAAATTTTAACTAAAATGCACTAAAGTGCTAAACTATTGACTACACGTGTCTGCAGCACGATTAGACACTCATTTATATAGTTTATCAGGGAAAAAAGCTGATTTGGGGGTGACTTGCTCTTTAAGGTTTAGTCGTTTTGTTTCTTGATTCGAATGAAACATTTTTGTCTTGATGCCATAAATATAACACATCTTCCAGCAGCTGAAAACGTTAATTTAACCCTTCTAGATGATTTGGAGGAGCATCGGATCTGCTCAAGACCTCCTGCAGAGATTCGTGGCGAATCGTTGAATTTTGGCGCTAAAACACAAACTTTTCTCTTTGATCTCCTGAGAATAAATCAGCTGTTATTAAAAGAAGCTGAAGAGCCGCTGGTGGGAGCCAGAAACACAGCAGGTGTGTGTTTTTGCTGGATGATGATGGATGTAACAGGGTTTAAAACACACACACACACACCTTCTGCTGTCTTGCGGCAGCGCTCTAATAAAGTTTGCTTGGATTTGAAACTGGATATGTTGAGTTTCTATTCCCTCTGATGGATTTAAAATACAGGCCTACGCTGTAGTAGCCCCCTAAAGCTCTTTACTCATTTTAAACACATGAAGGAAGCATTCTGCATTGCTGCTTCCTGTCCAACACGTATACCGGTATGTTTGTGGCCGGGTGAGGTGGCCTACGAGGCACAAGCTCTGTTTAAACCATGAAACAGAAACAGAGCTTTCAGAGGACAAACTCGGAGTGGCAAACACACAAGAAAACAGCTGGAAAACCATCATAAAAACGTGACGAATGCAGTTTTTAAACACGTGTAAAATACTTTCTTAAATCTGAACGTAAGCGCAGCACAGCAGCGGTCTATAAGCTGTGTTTAGAAGGTCAAAGGTCAACTTAAATACCCAGATAAGAACACAATTGCTGCTTTATGGCCGTGTAACATCACATTTGACATGCCTCGTCACACACATGAATCCCTTAAGAAAAATGTGAGTTGCAGTTATTGAGAGGCACAAATTTTTCCGAGTTTATAGAGCAAGTCACCCCCAAATCCACTTCCATTTTGCTGATTAACTATATAAATGAGTGTCTAACCATGCTGTAGACACATGCAGTAAATCATTTGGCACTTAAGTGCATCTTAGTTAAAATTTAAATATTCTGCCTAAAACTGTCATTGTTGCACAGCTGTCAGGTAAAAACTCTGCATTGCATTTAAATTTAATCTGCCATCGCTATAGGCTAAGAAGTACACTATGATGTCAGCTGGTACATTATGAGGTCACAACGTCGTGTGTGTGTGTGTGTGTGTGTGTGTGTGTGTGTGTGTGTGTGTGTGTGTGTGTGTGTGTGTGTGTGTGTGTGTGTGTGTGTATTTGTTAGTGGCTCCCCCCTTTCAGTCTGCCAGGCAACAGCATTTTTTGCATTTTTCAAACAGGAAGTGGGAGCGGAGTAAGACTCTGGCAGGGGGTGACTTGCTCTTTAATTTTACATAAACTGTTAAAGTGGTGATCGTTAACAAGGAAGCATTCACAATTTAATTTCAAATGAATTTACATTTAAAATAATCAGTTTCAGCTCCTAAAGACCGAATTTTGAATTAAATAATTAAAACGTTTAAATGGGTGAAACCAGAGCATCAGACAATAATAATAATTATTATTATTATAATTATTATAATAATAATGATACATTTTATTTAAAAGCGGCTTTCAGAACACCCAAGGTCACTTGACAAAAAAACATTCAGAAAATACATTAAAACGACAATAAAACGCAAAGAAGAAAAAACAAACAGTTAAATTAAATCAGAGGTCATAGGCAGATTTAAACGTGTGTGTTTTGAGTTTGGGTTTGAAAAGGGTGAAACTGTCGATGTTCCTGATGTCTGGGGGGAGTGAGTTCCAGAGACGGGGAGCAGAGCGGCTGAAAGCTCTGCTCCCCGTGGTAGTGAGACGGGCAGAAGGAACAGCAAGATGGATGGAGGAAGAAGATCTGAGGGAACGGGAGGGGGGGTGAATACTTATAAGGTCTGAGATATATGGAGGAGAGAGGCTGGCTTTGAAGGTATGGAGGAGAATTTTGAAGATGGACCTGAATTTAACTGGGAGCCAGTGAAGCTGCTGGAGAATAAATCTTTTTTTATTTTACTATTTAATTTAAGTTGAATACAAAAGCAGCAGAAATCATTTATAACCATCTTGAATGAAGGAATAATCCAGTTATTTTTGACAACGGACAATAAAAAGCCCACCTGAATACATGATTGCTGGTTTCTGTGGTTTGGGTAAATCCTGAGAAATGAAATTTATTTACTTTGTTTTCTTGTTCCGCCACTTGAAGGCGCCAGAGCTTAGTTCTACTTCAACTTTAGTTCATTATTTTACATCATTAGTTCTCTCTAGTGTGTTTTTCCCATCGGTGTTTGAGGTTTTTCTCCCCCCTTAGAATATTAAGTTATGTTTCCTGCTCTTCTTGTCTTTAGGTTTTATTCTTAGGTCATGTTAGTTTTCCTCCCTGATCAGTAACTCAGTTCACCTGGTCTCTCTCCACACACCTGCAGGTCATCTCCCTCTCATCCTCCCCAGTGTATAAAGCCCTGTCTGTGTCTTAGTATTCTGTCAGTCCATTGTTGGGTGTCAGTGTTGTTTTGTTCCTCGTCTCTTGGGTTTGTGCTCTATGTGAGCTTTCGTTCTCCTGGTGTTCAGGACTTTGGTTTTTGGCTTCCTACCCTTTGGAATTTTTTTGTTCTACTTCCTAATAAAGGACTGTTTTCATTTACATCCACTCCTGCCTCGTGTCGTTCTGGGTGTCTGCATTTTGGGTCCAAACCTCCTCCTGACTTGCAACGTGACAGGAACGGTCAGTGAATTGTACAATGCCAACAAACCAGAATTAGTCAGTAAAAACTTAACTATGTAATACTCCTAAGGATGTGGCAATTTTACCTTTTTATGTAACTAATATGGGATTTCCATGTCAAGTCTTCATCAGTAAGAACTCCAAGATTGCTATTGCTAAAATGTGTTTTTGTTCAGAACCTGATCACTAAGGGACACAGTTTGTGTTTTAAATTAATATCCAAAAGCTGCAGCTCTCTCTAGCTCAGTGATAACTGAAGAAATGAGGAGGAAGCTTCTCCTTCAGCCACTTAACCACCTGGTTGTTCACATCACAACATCTGGAGCTGCAGAAACCCGATTAGGATTAAACTGAAACCTGATCATGGTCACGCTGAAGCATCTTAAATGTAAAATAAAACTCACAGAGCTACTGGAGCTGAGTGAGTCCTACAGGTGGAACCAGAATTAGGGGGGAAATTAAAAAAAACTGATCGAACTTTCTCAGGAATAAAGAAAAAGTCTCTTCCTATTGGTTTTGGATCCCAATGCAACATGTAATCAGATTATTTTATAGTTTGCTCACAAAACTATTTCAACTTCAGATTTCGGATTGGACATTTATTATTTAGTTAATATTAATCTCCTGCCTCTTCTGCTTTGTTGGTGTTCTGAGGAGCAGCTCCAGGTTGGATCTGTGTCATGCTCCCGAGTCGAGGTGAGTGACACCATCTCCAGTCTAACCGTTATTGAGGTGATTTCCCACAGGTGAGGAGCGGAGGGGGCTGCAGCTGCAGGAGATTCCCAATCAGGAACTCGGGTTTAAAAGGAGGATGGAGACACCTCACTACGCTGGATGATTGCACCAGTTTAGGTAGCCCCAGCCCTTTGTACTTGTACTTGTGTACTTGTACTTGTGTACTTGTACTTGTGTACTTGTACGTGTGTACTTGTGTACTTGTACGTGTACTTGTACTTGTGTACTTGTACTTGTGTAAGTGTACTTGTGTACGTGTACTTGTACTTGTGTACTTGTACTTGTGTACGTGTACTTGTGTACTTGTACGTGTGTACTTGTACGTGTACTTGTACTTGTGTACGTGTACTTGTGTACTTGTGTACTTGTGTACTTGTACTTGCACTTGCACTTGCACGTTCGCTTTGACTCGCTCTTGGATTACTTGGATTTTGAACTCGGACTGATTTGTGGATTACGTTTTCGGATCACCCCTTACACCTGGTGTTTGTTTACCTTCCCTCAGGATCCTCACACAACCTGCCTCACCCTCACTGTTTGACTCTGGATTACTACATGCACCACGTCCCATCCTCCTCCGTTGTTCCTGTCTGGTCCCTCTCTGCTACCTCACCCATCCCAGATCGCTCACCCTCTGCCCAGCGCTCACCTCGGCTTCCCCACCTCCCTCGTTCACACCGAGTACTACGTGAACACCAACTGTACCGCTCATTTCCCACAGGACTTCCCTGTGCTATTTTTGTTCCCGTTTTTGAATAAAGAACTTTTCTTTTACTCAACCTGCTCGTCGAGTCTGATTCTGCATGTCTTGGGTTAGGCACTTACCTCGAGTCATGACAATCTGATGTTTCCCAGCAGGTTTCCAGGATTTTGCCTCTTGATCATTTTACATTTTCTTCAATTTAAGCAGAAAACTAGTTTTAACCTGTAGAGCTTCATTGTGCGTTTACAAATCAAAGCCCTGATCTTCCCTCTGGTGGGTTCTGTGGCATGTTGGTGTTCCAGACCGGTCTGGGATTCAGCTTCAAGAGAGAAGAAACCTTGGACCTCCTCCTCTCTTTGTGTCCCCATGCTTCAGGTGGACAGCTGACTCCATATCTGCAAGAAAGCTGAATAAAGTCTATTTATCTTTGAACCGCCTCCTCTGGGGTCACCATGAAGTCCTGCAGGGCAGAGAACCTCCACCTCTCTCTTTTCTGGGAGGGAATAACTGAATGCCACCAGGTGGCGCTGTTGTGCCGTTCCCTGTTGGCTGCAGCCTATTTGGGGAATTTATACACCTGACAAAAGTATTTTGGTGAATATTTTAATTTTAAATAATGCAACAGAAACTGATAAGGTTTATAAAAGATGTTACATAAACAATCTGACTCGTAATCAGCCTGAACGGAGCCTTTAGTGGAGAAGTAAACATTTTACAAGTTACAGCAATTTAGTCACAATTCATTCAAATTAATTTCAAACCTGTCTGAATAAATGGCGCTTTATAAATTTTTATATAAACATTAAGATTAAAACACTATATATATATATATATATATAATATATATAATTATGTATATTATATATATAATTATTTATATATAAATTAAATATGCCAATTGAAATAATATAATGTTGGTTAGTTAGTTGGTTCTTTATTCTAAGGATAGCGGATCTCTCTCTCCCCTGAGCTGCTCCAAAGATCGTCTATTGAAACGAGCCACCGTTCAACCAAACGAAGAAAACAGCGAGTGGGCGGGGCAACAATAGTTTCCGTCTAGACCAAATGGATTATGTAAGTGTTCAAGTGTTTTCACTAAAGTGTTGATGCTAAATGATTTAATCGTATCTAAGTTTCTTGATCTGTAGGTGTGTCACAAATCCAATTTTATAAAACAGCTTCAACATAAAAATAGTAATCCTCAATAATTGT